AGTCAATTGCTCTGGCTTGTATGGACATAGATCCTTTTAACAGCATTGCCATTTACATCTTTTTGCCAAAAATTTCCCTTAGCTTCAGTATTATTGTTTCTGTTATTCTCCCTCTCAGAGCTTCTACTTTTGGTGAAATACTCTGTCAAGTATGCAATTTTCCCTATTTTGTTGGCTGTTCAAAATGTGATGTCGGAGACAGCTAGGTGACCGTGGGCAAGTCACTTAACCCCATTGCCTAGCCCCTTCCCCCCCCCCCAAAAAGAAAGGGGGCAGCTAGATGGCACAGTGGATAGAGCTCCAGTCCTGGAGTCAGGAGGACCTGAGTTCAAACGCGACCTCAGACACTTGACACTTATTAGCTGTGTGATCCTGGGCAAGTCACTTAACCCTGATTGCCTCACCAAAAAGAAAAAGAAAAAAAAAAGCAAAATGTGATGTCCCTTTAAAATGATTTTAACTCAAAGAACTCAGTGATGTAATGATTTTGTGCTAGGTATTCCAGGGCAACAGAGTGGGCATAGGTGGTATTGTATTCTTTGTATTTGACAACTGGAGAAATTGGGGCAAAAATCAGCAACCTAATTTGTCCAACCAGTGTAAGAGTAACAGCAATAAGAATACATTGTGTCGAGAGCTCTAAATTCTGTCCTAAATCCCTTTCTTCTTTTGAAAGTTTTATTTTTCTTACTAACTGTTCTGAAGTTTCTTGCTGTGGTTTATCTACTTGTGAGCTACATCTTTTAGTATGTCGACTTTTTGTCTTGTGTTCCTCATCACTTGCCTTTGGGAACCCTGATTCTTCGGCCTCGCTAGTAAGTCCTTGCCTTCATGAATTGAGAGAGGTGAGGGCTGGCTAGGTCTGTGTCCCTGTCCTGAGGAGAGAAGACTGGCTCTTGGTGTGTATCCAGTCCTACTTTCCTTAGGCCAACAGCCTTCCCTTATATCCTGTAGCTCTAAGTGTTGAGTGCAGTATGACCTTTTTCCTCACTCCTTCTTTAAGGGGCTGGATACAGTCAGTGTTTTGCAGAATTGGGGAAATTGAGCAGTCACCACTATTATGGGATCCCTAATATCAGACTGTATTTCACATGCCTGTGAATTTGCTTGTGCTCACTGCTGGGGGTAGGGAAGGATGTTAAAGGAATTAGGTTAGAGCATTAAAGATGGTTTAATTCTTAAGATTTTCTTTTGTGTAAACTTTTGAGATTCTTATTATCTTGTGAATTCAGCTGTAATCGCTGCATAACTGGTTCATGATTTTTTTTAATCTGAGATTTTGTAGGTGGAGAATTTTATATTTTTATAACTTAAGTCATCTTGTTGATCATATGACATTAAACATCAGCTTTCCAAATAGCTTTATGGTATGTAAATCCTTAATGATTAAATATGTACATATTTTGGAATGAGGTGGTTTAAAAAAAAATTTCTCCATAGTCTTTCTCCTCCTACTTCAACAGCCAATTCAATTGACAACCAACTGACTTAAGATCAAGAAAACGACTTCCCCCTCAAGACCAAGTTATATCTTGTCAAAAGCAAATAAATATATGAAAATACCTAGACACAAGTTCCACAATATGTACTCATATTAGTGCTGTAATAATCACTGACTACTAGGATATCAGACTAACAGTTTTTCATTTTACTTCCCTAAATATAATGTTGGCATTATTTTTAGTGCCATATCAAAAATTTCAAACTACATATCCAAGCTAGTAAGATAAGAAGTACTTCTGATTTGGAAACATGTCAAATAGAATGTGACCATAGCTTTTGATAAACCCAGGTAGGCCACAATAAGGAAGCTTTTCCCCTCAGAAACTTTTAAAAAAATATTATAGATGAATTCTAGATAGCAGAGTCCCACCTGGTAATGGGTTTGGGTGCCCCAAAGAAATGGGACCTAAACTTTTATCATTGGCAACCTACGGAAATCAATTCTACAAAAAGTTCTAAGTAATGTTTAGGCCACAAATGTTTAAGCATAGTTGTACCTGAAAGAGCTCAGGCATATGAAGGTAGTATAGTATAATGGATAACTTCCAGGACGTGAAGTCAGGAAGTCACGGACATCCAACATCTATAACTTATTTGTGAACAAAAGCACACCATTTAAGGACTGTGAGCTTCAGTTTCCACATTGGCAAGATGAGGATAATACTTGTAGCACTCAATTTATAGGTGTTGGGAAACTCAAAAGAGAATATATTTTTAAGTTGCTTTGCAAATCTTAAAGCAGCAAATGTCAGGAACTATTATGGATATGTGACTTCCCAAAGTCTCTTAAATAAGATCCCTGATCTAGTACAATGCCAGGCATAGGTCATTTGCTCTCCTTTGTCAAGAAATTCAGTACTTGACTTACCATTTTGTTCTCTATCTAAACTCATTATACTACAATGAAAACGGCATTAAATAAAATATATTATCATCTATTTTGTTGCCATACCCTAAGGATCATTGTGTCTTACCATTCACCTTGTAGCTAAATACTTTTATTTATATGTATTGTTGTTAGGTCATTTCAATTGTGTCTAACTCTTCGTGACCCCATTTGGGGTTTTCTTGGCAAAGATAGTGGAGTGGTTTCCCATTTCCTTCAGCTCAGTTTACTGATGAGGAACTGAGGCAAACAATAAGTGACTTGCCCAAGGTCACATAACTAGTAAGTGTCTGAGGCCACATTTGAACTCATGAAAATGAGTCTTCTTGACTTTAGGCCCAGTACTCTAACCACTGTACCATCTAGCTTTTTATTTAACTGCCCATTTTAAATCCCCCTATTAAAACGTAAGCTCTTTGAGGGCAGGAACTATCTTGCTTTTCAATTTGTATTCCAACCATTTTGCTCAGTGTTTTACATATAGCAAATACTTAATAACTTTTCATTCATTCCTTCATTCAATCTAGGAGACTTCAATATATATGGTGATATTTCCTCTAGCACTCTAACCTCCTAGTTCTTCAATTTCAATTCTCATGATCTCTTCCCTTATTATATCATAACCACCCACAAGGACCTTTGAATCTATCATCATTGTATTCTACTTCCATAATAAAGAATTATGAAATTCCTTTCTCCAATCATAATATTCTATCATTAGTTTTCTGCCCATGTTTCACTCTACCTAAACCTAGGTAGAGTATAAACCTAGTCTCCTCATTGTGAATTCTAGTCTCTTCCCAATTCAATACTCTCCCAAGCTATGAGTCCCACTCTGGTTTTCTTTTCCTCCTTCCTAATCTCAGCCAATCCTACTGGATATTCTCTTTGACTCAACTTCTCATTCACTTCTTAACCCTTTGCATTCTGGCTTCTGGCCTCACCCAACTGAAACTGCCCTTTCCAAAGCTACCAATGATCTCAATTGCTAGTTCAGGCCCCATATAACTTCTTACCTCCACTACTATAATAGCCTCCTACTTGGTCTCCCTGTTCCAAGTGTCCCTGCTCTCCATGCAGCTACCAAAGTGATCTTCCAAAAACACAGGTCTGATTATGTCATCATCCTGTTCAATAAATTCCAGTGGCTTCCTATTACTTCTGGGCTCAAATATAACTTCTTGTTTGGCATTTAAAACCCTTCACAACCTTGTTTAAACTTACCTTTCCAGGATTATTATACATTATTCTCCTTCATGCAATGCATGGTCTAGCCAAACCAGACTTCTTGCTACCCCTGCACTTAATATTCCAGCTCTTAATCTTTGCACAGCCTGTCCCCCATACCTGGAATCCACTCCCTCCTCACCCCCAACTCTTAGAATCTCTAGTCTCCTCTGAAGTTCAATCACTACTTTTTACAGCAAGAGTTCTAAACCTGGGATCTGTGAACTTGTTCTTATAACATTTTCATAACTATATATTAATATAATTGGTTTGCTTTTTAATACTGTATATTCTATATAATGAAAAACATGATTCTGAGGTGGGGTCCATAAGTTTCACCAAACTGCCAAAGGGGTCCATGACACACAAAAAAGGATAAGGACCTCTAGTCTCCAAGAAACCTTTCCTGATTCATCCAAATTGTATTTATTTCGTATTTAATTATGTATGCATATGTCTTCAATAAAGTTTAAGTACTTTAAGGGCAGGGACTTTTTAATTTTTGTCTATAATCCCAGCACCTAGCATATAGGATAAGGATATAGACTAACCCTGTGATCTCACTGGTACAAGAAACTCCCAAATATGGAAACGGCCCCTATCAATACAAGCCTTACAGAGTTGTCTAAAGCACTGAGAAATTAAGTGACTTGACCAGAGTCACCCAGTTAGTATGTCAGAGGTAGAATTTGAACCCAGATCTTCCTTGCTCCAAAGCCCACTCTAACCACTACACAAAACTGACTCTCACTTAGTACGCAGTAGGTGCTTAATAAATGTTTCATTGTTAACATATAGTTTATAAATTGTTTTTAATACTTCTTATCAAGACAATTTGGAAGACTCATTACACCTATGTTTGCAAAGGTTTTCAAGTAGTTTAAGTTCATGCATCCTGAATTATTTTTTCTAAGTATCTTTTCAACTGTAGCAAAATAACCCAAAACCTAAAGTCATAATGTAACTAAATTCTTGAGAGCATCAGTAAAAATCTAGGAACATTTTATCTTTTCTCATCATGTATCTCAGACTCTATTGGCATACTACATGATATGGATTCCCAATTGACCACTGCTAGTTATATAGGTCTTAAGGCACCTTTGTTACATTCAATCATAAAATATCCAAATTCTAAGAGAAATATTTCCTCTTGACCTTTACCTTCTTTGGATAAAAAAATAAAAAGTTAAGCACATCAACTACTCATTTTAATGGGTTATTTGGCTTATCAGTAAAAGTCCAGAATGTAGCCACAAATGTACTATATTCCTGGACATTTAAAATTTGAATAGTTGACATTTTATTATATGAGCAAAGCAATCAATTGTGTACATTTTAAAGAGCTGAATGAAAAATAAAACAAAACAAACACCTCAGACCAAAATACTGTAACAAAAGTTTTGTGGAAGCTGCATTTTATTTGAAAATCTACCCATTTTTGCTAACATACATTTTAATATTGTAAACAAAAATAGAATCTGCAGAGACAATGCAACAAGTATGCTTAACTCATGTATAGAATTGCTTTCCTACTACTGACTGTCCTTCTTAAGGCCCCTCTCAACCCAAATGTTAAGATGTATTTACACAAAGCACCGATCAACAGTGCAGCTTAATTCTCCGTTAACTAAACTCTTGCTAGACATCTGTAAAGACACTATTTTCCCTTATTTAAAAGGTACATGATCATAAACCTGGCACAAGCCAAATGAAAGGTTCCAGGATTTTGCCCTCCCCCCACATAATACCTCCTAGAGTTTTACCGAAAAGAAGGAAAGTCTTTAAAGTGAAAGCAATTTCTCACATTCATTTTGGAGAGGCCCTAATGTCAAATGTAGAATAATGACATGCCAAGCACAAAGCAATAAAGTTCCTTCCAGATGCACTAATGTGGAATTAAAAATGTAGTGCTTTTCCTAGTCAGCGAACTGTTCCCTTGCAAAATCTAGGCACAGAATTGACTATACGGATTAATGCATTCATAACTCTTCCCTAATTCCCATACAGACTGAGAATTTCTAAGAGATTCATATCTATGGACTTGCTGTAAAATATTTAGTGCTCTGTATGTCAGCTGAAAAGCATTCTGAATCAGAATCATTTTTGTGGATAAAAATCAAACATACTGTATACATCCATACTCATTTTCATAAGGAGGTTTGATAATGTTACTTAAATTGATAATCATAAATAAATACAAATACATAAGGAATGTCTACTGCAAACTGAATATATAATTTTTTAAAGAAAAGTTAATTTTAGTTATTGTTTCTACATTTGAAGATTGAAAAGAAAGGTACTGCATAAGAGTTATGATTTTGATCCCCGAAAAGAGTCCTGTTAAATTACGGTCAAGGACACACACAGCTCTTCATTCCATACAGCTTTTCCAAATACAAATTTCACACTTTCTGAATAAGGGCTTTTCTTGGTAGGTTACTGATTATGGGTATTAATAAGGAGTTGAAAGAACTGAAGGGTTAGTCACCAAAAAGACAGAACTTAGTCTTAAATCATGGCAATTCTTGGCTTTATACTGTACTGATGCTTTCTCCTACAGACTAGTCCCAATTGCTGTCATGGGCCCCTCATTGAGTTCCTGCAGCATTCTAATGGAAGAGAGGAGAGTTTACGAGACAGCAATTTTGATCTTGCTGGAAGTAGGGGTTTGCTGCTTGAGCACTTGTCTTTTTGGAACAAATGATTCCATTCTCTTCCACTGGATTATTACATAAACTGTATCTAGAAAAAAAAATAAGAAAAATCTAAAATTAATTCACGGCATTACAGGATCTTCCACAGAAATGAAAATGTTTCATGACCTTTGGCATTCAATTGTCACAGAAGTGCTCACAGCATGCTTTTCAGAAGTCCTTCATGCTCATAGCATGCTTATCAGAAGTCCAGGCTGTAAAGTAAAGTAAGTATTATCTTGCTAATCAGAGCAAGAATTCACCACATTGACAAGAAAAAAAAATTTAAAGTAATACAACTTTTTCATTACAAATTCATAAAATCTTTCGATTAAAACAAAAATTCCATTGTTCCAATTCTGTAAAAACACAATTTGGGGGGAAAAGTTTAGAACAGTGTTTCTAACTAATCAAATAATAAAATTCAGATACACACACACACACACACAAAACCTTAAATCTAACTTTAAATCCTCCAACTCTCACTCTCTCTCTCTAAAACCTCAACAGGAAAACTAGAATTCAGTGTTTACTAAATCAATTCTTTTACATTTAGGGAAATTAAAGTGATTTGGGAAGAATAATAAAGAAATATTTTTGAACAGGACTTGGCTTCATTCAAGCAAAACAAAAACAAAAAACACCTGGCATTGTCCTTAAAATGGCTATCCAAAGAAACTAGTAAATTGTTGAAAAATCTACCAAGTGCAAAGTCCCCAACATCTAACAGGTATATCCAAATTAGAGATGATAATTTTCCAGAAAACAAAAAACAACAGATTAAGTATCTAACACTCTTATTTATGGTTTTCAAGTACCCACCTGTTTTTACACAATACTGGGGGAAATGATGCTGACAAGTACAGGAAGCACACATAGAACAGTGATCCTTCAGAGATTCGTGTAATGAACTCTTCAATTAGCCATGATCATATAAACATCATAACTAAAAATTTGTTCCTAACCAAGATCTAATACAATCTGCCAAAACTGCATCGCTCTCTTTATTTCCTTCAAGACATTGGTCTAGACCATCCATTTTTAAAGGATGCTGTATGAACCCAACCATCCACTGTTAGCAATGAATGAATGTTATTTGGACATGAAGAATGATGCTTCAATTTCATACTTTTCATTTACAATAAAGAACTTTCCCAAATGTTTGCTCATTTATTTTGGGAAAGGAAATTTAGATTCCCTTAAAGAAACAAGCAAAGGGAGAAGGGGAGAATTGGGCTTAATGGCATTTTTAATATATATATATGTATATTTCTTAGAGTCCCCATCTCCCCCAACAACAAGCAATACCTAAAGTGTTTTATAAGAAATCCTCCAAAGAGAGCTCTGCAAAAGGGTCCTTTCCTGAAGCTCTGTGAGGACTGTGACTGGAGGGACTGGATGCTGCAGACAGCTGGGGGAAAAGAAGACAGAGAAAGGGAAAGAAAAAAGGTCTCAGAATGACAGAACATGAAAGTAGAAAATGTAATGAAAGAAGAAGTGGTTTTGGTTTGTTGACTTTGATAAATATAAAGGCAGCCTTTGGAAAATGGGAGGAAAACAAAAAGTTTGGTGATATGTGAAGTGAAAGAATATCCAATGGCATGTTTCTTTCAGAAAATAAACTTCTTACTACAGAAGGTCAAAAGGAAAATTATTTTTGCCAAAAGCGGTCAAGGTAAGTTGATCCCTTGTTAAGATAAGGGTTGTTTCTATCTGTTCCCCTCCCTCCTTCCCTCATTCCCACCAAAATGAAAGAAGATGGAGCCATTTTCTCTTTCAAAATTGAGTCTGGTTTCAGGATATGAAAAATATCATCTCTCTCCTTTCTCAAAGAGGTGAAAGTACTGTCTCTTAAAACACAACGACAAAATATTAACATATATGACCTTCCTCCCTCCTCTTGGTCTGAATACCTTTCAACTGGACCACACAATCTTAGGAGTTGGAAATGTCCTTGGGAGGGTCATTTAATCTAACATCCCACGTACTTAACTAAAAATGAAAAGTTGAGGTTCAAAGATATAGTTCCTTGTATTCATGTAAAAAATTCTCTTGGCAATTTTTGTTATTACTTAGCTACACTGTATGCTAACTGAAAAGATTATATGAACTAGAAATATTATCAAGAATTTGTCTACTCTCTAGACCTAAATATTAAAATTTTCTATTCTCATATGATCTTTAATAGGCTACCTTCTTCAAACTTCAATCTAAATTTTAGCTTCAATTAGCACAAAGCTATCTGAAGAAGGTAAACACCTTCAACGTAATCTTCCACTCCAATCCTAATGACTCTGTACAGTCTATCAACAAGCAGCAAGTATGTAACTAACTTTAAGCCATCTTTCTGCTATGTCTTGCTCATTCTTTCCTATATAATATTATGTTTGTTACATTGATCTCCTATCAATCTAGCATTTAATCTGAGTTGATTAACTGAAAATATTGTCAATTATATCTCAATATTCAAAAGCTATATGGATTGTAAATCTCAAAGGCTGGTAGTTCAGACTTGACTGTCATTCTTTTTATTCTTCTTTAAAAAGAAAAACAAAACAGTAAGGCAGGACAGGAAGCCATTCGTAGTTTTGAACAAATCTCAAAAATTCCAGAGTTATGGATACAGAGGCCAATTTGTAGGCTTAGAGAGTCCTGAGTTGTCACATCCATTATTCTTGTTCCTAATTTACATATTGGTTTCATTACAGGATGTCTAGTAATGATCAGAGACAGTATAAGAAAGAGGAACAATCATAGTTATAATGGTTTGGAGGATATCACACAATATTGCTTAGGGATCCCATTTTATCCCCACAAAAATATAAGATACACATATATGCACACACGTGTATATATATGTATGTCTATGTGTGTAACCTCTTTTTAGCCCAAATAGGGAAAGTTTTACAGAAGCAAAGTTTTGATTGTTCCCTCCCTCCAATGACAGGGAGCTCTAATGTCACTGGGATGATCAAATAGTGATTACATTCCTTTCTCTCCCTTTTGTTTCCAAACTGAAATCTTTGCTTGTCAGTAATTCTAATTATTAATCTCCTTGAACATACATAACATTTGGAAAAAATTTATGTTCCATAGTGTTTATCAGAATTTATTTTTAAGCAATATCATTTTTTTAAAAAAAGTTTCTGAATTTGGCCCATCTGAGACCATCTTTTTGTCTTCTAAATGTTCAAGAGTTTTACCATCTCGTATTTAGAAATCAAAGATGTTTACAACTGATGCACTCGTGCTGAAGACAAAGTTACCTTATGACAAAATGTTTCAAATGAAAAACAACAGAATCTGACAAAAAAGCAACCAGTAGGAAAAGAGACAAATTAGGAAAGTAGGGCTTAACAAAATCATATACCATTTCCATGTTACTAAGGATAAGGATATCTCTTCAAGACTATGTCCAGGTGAAAGAACAGGCAGCAACAGCTATAGCTCTGGCTTTCATGGCTGCCTGATACCTTGAAGCATCAGTACAACAGGTACCAATCATAACTCAATCCAAGGGGGAACTGAAAAGTTGGCAGCTCAGAGAAACAGGTAAACGGAGAAACAGAAAGTAACAATAATAGCACTACTGCCAAAGCCAGGCACAGCTAAACAAGGTCAGATCAGCAAACAGAAAAGCATAGTGAAAGGTGGTCTTCATGTGGAAAGTAACAATTAGGTTGGTAGGCCTTTAAAACTTTATGTGAAGTTTAACTGAAAGAATAAGGATTAACAGTCTTACTGAACATTTGAAATGAATATGAAGAAGGGAAGGCCTGTAAGGAAACAAAGCAAGGCCAAGGAATTATATTAAAATATAAGTTCTTTTAAAGAAACATTACCTTTTCTTAATCCATGAATTATCAGCCAACATCTAAGTTGCTACTGAGATAAAATAATATTACATATACCATTACAAGAATCTCTACGTACAAAAATCCAACCCTCAAGGTTATTCATTTCAAATGATTTCCACTATACCAAAACAAATGTTCAGTCAGTTTGCTGCAATGGAATCTCACCTGCATAATATTTGAAATGGATCTTTAAACCAAAGGTGAAAGGCAGTATTAACTCATCATTTGATCTGCCTCTCGGAAAAAAAAAACAAGATACGTAAGTAAAGCTTACGAGGAATCAAACTATCAAATTCAGAAATAGATAATCAAGGGCAGCTAGGTGGTGCAGTGGATAGAGCACCAGTCTTGGATTCAGGAGGACCTGAGTTCAAATCCAGCCTCAGACACATAACACTTACTAGCTGTTTGACCTTGGGCAGTCACTTAACCCCATTACCTAGCCAAAAAAAAACCAAATAAACAAATAACCACAGAATGCTCTTGTATAGATCTTAAGAGCTGGAATTATTTCCTCTAAGTGAAATCCTATTTGACTCCTGAAAACAAACTGATCTTTAAACAGAAAATTTTAGATTTCAAAGAGAAATTAACAGATGCAAGGTCCCTTTGTTCATTTTCCAGGAAAGGAAAAGATTTTTCATACAATTAGCATAAAGTGAAGATTCTCAAAAAAATGTATTTTGGCTTCAGAGAAAACAGAGACACAAAAAACATAACCTCCATTGTTGATATACTATATATTGCAAAAACAAAACTGGATGTGGCATTACTGTTGAGGCTAGAATACAACAAGGCCAAATCTGAAAATATGACTGATAACATATCATGGGGCCAACAAGTAATCAATGCTTTTTAAAACTAAACTATGCATTACTGGAAAATTCTAAAATTCCTTTTAAAGATATTTATCCAGACTATCAAATTTCACTTCCAAATCCAGAATACTTGGCATTAACACTGCCAGGCTGCCTGCAGAGTCAATGTAGATGAACCACATTGCCAAATACTGACAGTTAATATAAGGTTAAAACACAAAAACAGTCTGTCATTTTGAAACACTGACAACTCAGCTTCTGAAAATGCTTAATTCAGAACTATACCATTTTGGAAGAATAAAAATACAAGTGGAATTGGCCTATAAACATACAAGCAATATTATATGTCAGTCTTCCATATTTAAAGATGATGG